TGTGTGTGTGTGTGTGCGTACACTTTCTTAAAACTGACAGTTCTTTGCTTTGAATCTCCTCTCTTCATCCTGCTCAACCATCTGCTCATTTCTCGAAAACAGCCTCTCACTGAACAGATTACTCAACGCGCTAATAGCAGCAAGCACAACACAAGCATTAGCCTGGCTGCTCGTTTTAATGTTGTGCTTTGGGACAAGCTCCCGGTGCCATGTTGTGCATGTCCTCGCCTCTCTACAAATCATGACATTTAAAGATCATTATGAGATTGTGACACTGACTGGAACCAGCAAGTCGGTTAAAACCAGATGCCATTGCTGGATGGCTTCATTGGTTTCAGAGTCTTGCGTTTTCATAGTGATAAACACACAAGTGAACTGTTAAGACAAAGACGGAGGAAAACATATCATAGGAAATTGTGCAGTAAGGTTAAAATCCCCCGAGGGCCTTGTAAATAAACATTTATTCCTCAAGCAAACAACAAAATCAATGTGACACACAAATACAATATTAGAGACAAAATGACAACAGAAGAAATACAGGAGGAAAACAGTGGAACAACAAAATGTATACATAATAAAAAATGCATAAATGACAATATTACGACTAGCTTTCACACCCCCACGGACAGAGTCTTCCAGCCAAGCATTGTGCTGTTAGTATTCTAGCTGGTATTGTGTTCTAGCAACAAACATGGCCTGTTTTTCTGAAAACTGGAATGTAATTGAATTTTAATCATCTAAATTTGGATAATTCCCATCATTAGTGGGGCTGCAATATAATTAGACTAAAATGGGAACAAAGGGAACGGTTCTCTCTGTAGAGGGAAACCTGGTACGAGTCAACTCATTGCCCTATATGTTAAAACACTTAAAACACACACTTTGGTTACAAGATTTTCATATTAAAAGAAGACAAAAGCACCCATCTGTAATTAATCGTCCCACCCCAAATCAAAATGTTCGTGTCAAATAGGGAGACTTAACCATCCACCCATTCACTTCTTTTTTCAGATCTTATTTTGGCTCTCCTGAGCCTTGGGCCAATCCCAGCATGCAGTCTGTAAGCAGCATAACACAGAGACAAACACAGTCACACTTCATATTTACACCTATAGAGTTTCCTGTTTACAGGACTGAAGAAGAGAAAGGAAGTCCCTCCAGGAGGTTGCAATGTAGCAGTCACAACACTACATGCATATTCAACCAATCCATGTGAATTCTGCGACAATTTTCTCCAATCATAGCAGTTTCTCTCCGGCACCAAAACACTAGCAATTTGATTCTCACTGGAACAAATTGCCTTCGGTTTTTAATGAATTATACAAAAAAAAAAAAAGAATAGAAAGAAAATATATGGCTAAACACATTGCAACAATTATTGCAGTTTTTTTGAAAAGCTGCCATGAAATCAGGCATTTCAGGCTGCAACAATCCCCCAGAAAGACTGCGTAATCCTGGAGGAACTGGAAAGGGACAGCGTGCACAACCTAACTCGAACCCAGTCCTAACTCCTCAATAAAAGGACCCGGATTTAAAACCAGGAATGAATGGACTCCTGAACACCAGGGAACCAAAGCGTTCCCCCTTTAGTATCAAATGATCTCATTCATAAATGTGCATGCTGTTTATCACTGTAGGTAACATTTTATTTACATACCAAAGAAAGAGACAGAATATGAACGGTTATATTCCAAGTTATGTGTTTTTGTACACCCTCTGACCTCCCCCCTAAAAGGTTTTGTAACTCTACAACCACGTAATGCCACCACAGGCTGTTTTAAGCATTTTAACCAACGGTTTGTTATTTGTCCGGTAAGAACATTCTCACCAGAACTTGTGCGTCTGCGAGAGCGAACACTGGAAAGGTGAAATCTAAAAGGTCGGCAATCTGCACTTCTTTAAAGGATCTCTAAGGTATGGTTTGGTATTCAGGACTCGTTCCACCTGCATCAAAGGTTAAAGTCAAGCTGTTTTTTTTTTTTAACTGCAGTGTTTAACTAAATGGGAATATTGTTTTGTTGCCTGTGTTCTGTCAAGATCTTCCATAAGTGCTAAATTGTAGCTCATCCTCGGACATTTAACACTTTTGAGTAACAGGGAGAGTCTAACAAGGTCAAAGGTCTAATCCCCTCTTTGTGAAAGAGCTGTTGGAGTCCTGAAATCTTACAGCATTGCCTCAGTGCTCTGATCCCTCGTGACGTGAAGAGATTCAATAAACAAAAGAAATACAACATCTTTATTCTGTTTAGAAACATTTAAGTCATGCAGGATTTAAAAACATAAAAAACTAAAAGTAACAAACAGAAACTTTGCAGGAGGAATTGTAATGAGAGTTTATGGATCACTTGCATAGATAACAAACTCAAGAAATTCTGTTTAATATGGAATTTGTTGTTGTTCCAGCAAATTCAGCTGCAATATTGTTGTGATATCTGTTCAAGGATCTGAATTGGTGCTCGGTTTGATCCTATTACCTGCACAAATTGTCTCAGTATCCTAATAATTTATCAATTATCTGATTTGGAGAGGTTTTTTTTCTAGCTTGAGGCTGATGAATATAAATTGAAACCATTAAAGAATGAACTTGTTACAAGTCAAAATGAAAAGTTGTGTCTATTTTGTTTTGCTGAGACTTAATTTCACTCATATACCTGCAGGTTTGATATCGGCCTCCTGCTTATAGGACTGCTTGTACAATAAATTGCTTTCCTCTCTGTTCTATATGCTCTGTGATTGTATTTAGATCCTGCAGATTTCTGTACGCTGTTTATTTTCGTCTTCACACTGCATTCTCTGCCAGGCTCCCTTTGATAAAGAGCTCCTTGATCTCCACGGACTAAACATTACAGAGTTAACATAGGTTCACATGTAAAGTTAGCACAGGGGTGTAGTGTGGAGATTATTCTGCAGTGTCAGGTTCATGGGTTGGATCTCAACATCCTTGCATCCCGTTGAAGTGTCCCCAAGCTAGACACCTGTTCATTCACTTCTTTACGGACGTGAGCACGAGCTGAAGGCTGAAAATGTAGATGTATCCTCCCCGCTGCATCCGGCAGCTGTTTTTTTCCTGGGGACCATTCACTTGTATGAAGACACCAGAGGATTTGTTCCGCTCGAGAGGGATTTAGCTCTGTCTATTGGTATTAAAAATAAATCTCTCCTTGTGTTGCTGTTACATTATTACATTTTCCCTGCAAGGCTCCCTATCGCCTCCCTGATAACACCGTGCTAACGAGTATGGAACGCCCAGAGGAGAACGCTCATTCCTGGCAACATTAAACCTGACCCAGATGATCGGTGTGTCAGCCATAGGATGAGGAAACAGACCGGCAACATCCCGCCGCTCAGACCGGGGACGCAGCATTGCAGAGATCAGATTATGAGATGTCTTCCAGCAGGTCTATCTCGACCTATTTATCTTGGCCCAGTAGTATGCACAAGGGACCTTAGGTGCTTAAATGACTTAAGATTAACCATAAACCTTGTTCGAAAAACCTCGGCTTGACCCTGCATTCTGTGTCATCTAAAGGATTATCACTCACTGATAGCAGGATCCAGTTAAAACAAGGGAGTTTCTGTCCTGAGGCCGGTCTGCTAGTCTGCTGGCTTTAGCCTTAAGGAGCTTGGTCTGTTGCAGTTTCCTCAGCAGAGTGAAATGCATGTGAAATACCCTCAAGGAGACATGCTAAACATTTCCTCTGATGCCTGTTTGGGAGATTTGACCAACTCTTTTCTATATCTTTCAAGTACTGTGAGCCAGATGGCATACATCGGTCATAAACTGGATGTGATTACGAAGGTTTTCATCAGTTTTTATTGCCATAGATTGTTCCTGAAATAATTACATTCTGTATTCAAGCAATATCCAGATGGTTGGTGTGCCATACTTCTACAGTGATGTTTATTGAAGTTTTAAATCATGGTTTATATTTCTAGCAGTGACTATATTAAATGTCAGTTGAATCCTGACTGTCGGTACATACATGAACTTCAGTGCGGCCTAGTTAAGGGTCCAGTGTGTAATATTTAGGAGGATCTATTGGCAGAAATAGATTGGCAGGTGATATAATATTCATTGGTATGTTTTTTCACCTTAAAAAAAAGAATTGTTTTCTTTACCTTAGAATGAGCTGTTTTTATCTACAGAGGGAGCAGGTCCTCTTCTACAGAGTCCGCCATGTTGAACGGACAAACCAAACACTGACTCTAGATAGGACCTTTTGTGTTTCTCGGAGGCCACTGTAGTTTCTCCCACACGCTTGAAAGGTGAGCAGTATTCAGTATAACGTAAGGTAGCGTAGTCAAACTCTTATTGAAGTCAGTCGGGTAGTTCCTCATAGGATGCTGATTGATCTAAACCCGGGTGGTTGGACACAAGCAGATAGTTTGAAGCCTGGCAAGATGGATTCTCCCGTGATCTTGCGATCTTGTGAGTCCAGCTGCCTCGCAAGTTTCTCTATAGCAGCTTCTGTAGGCGGTAACGTGCCTGTAACCAACACCAGAATTTAATTTGGGGATACAGGGCAACATTACAGGATCTCCCTGCCACACTAGACTGTTAAAAAAACAACAACAACATAGTGCGGCTTTAAAATGACCCGAAATCTAGAGCGTGTATTCAGGTTTTTTCTGGCCCTTAGACAATTCAGCAGCCAATGATCTGGGAGGCGTAATCAGTGCTGTTGTTCAGCACCCAGTGATTTAAAAAAATAAAGCACTTTTCTTCAAGTCGAATAGTTACAGGGTTTTTTTTTTTTTACCATCTGTGATATCTGAGGGGTGAGTGTCTCCCAGAAATCCACTGACACTTTTTTTGGTCTTTGAGGGTTCAGACCACTCGCTGTTGTCTTTTGTTGAATGTGTAAAGAGATCCCAGCAGTGTTACTTGACAGCCCTGCTGTGTGTGTGTGTGTGTCTGTGTGTGTGTGTGTGTGTGTGTGTGTGTGTGTGTGTGTGTGTGTGTGTGTGTGTCTGTGTGTGTGTGCGCTTTTGTTTCCTAGGTGTCCAGACGGCCCTCGCCCCACCACAGTGCGACCATGTCAGCTGCCCTGTAAGAAAGACTGCATCATGACCCCTTTCAGCGACTGGACAGCGTGTCCTGTAACTTGTGACGCAGGTAAAGTGGAAAAATGAATCACCAGCAATGAGAGGAGACACAGCTGATGTGAACTGCCTCATAGAGATTATTGAGAAAGAAATTGTGGTTATTAAACTTTATTTCCCGTTTCTTAAATGTACTGGGCAGATAGTTTAGAGCCTAGCTTTGGTAGTTTTACATAACTGAATTTGGAAAGTAATGCCAGTAAAAGTAAATTTTTATGACTGATTAATCAGTTTTACTGTACATAATATTTGTATGTATATCTGTTGTTTTTACAAGTAGCATAAAGGGAACTATGACTACAACCTTGTAAAATATCCTTGTATTCTAGCAAAACGTGTGTCTGTGGCAAGACACAACATCACACAATGTTTCGTATTGTATTTCCAGGCTACAATATATGCTAATAAACAACAATAATCAATTAAACATGTTTTTGCTTTGACTCAATCCCAGCCTGGAAGTAAACAGAGAAGCAAGTTTTAAATTGACTGCGTGTAAAAAAAAAAAAAAAAAAACTGCAGAGGTGGGACCCTCTGCACAGAGCCAGACACATTAACTACCACATAAACACAAGCACTCACGTCTCGTTACACATAATTAATTTGACAGATTGGCATGTAAGACAACCTTTGGGCCGACCTCTTTTGGAGCGCCTGCCAAGCCCAACTCGCTCGTGGCTTCAAGTGTCGGCGAGTGCGTCGTGGTTGTTGTTGTTTTCATGCTGTGAAAGAAAAACATTGTTCAGATGAGGTCACCTTTGTCAGGCAGTCATTGTCCAAGCTGTTGAGCACAAGCGAAGACATTAAATAGATTTACAACCAAAAATCATTATCGTCCATATTTTGATGACCTCTTCATGTGACACAGAGGCATAAATCTCTCTTCACTCTGCGTGCCGCACCGATTGGCTGAGCATTTTAATTTGATGCAGTTGGTATCTTCACCTTGTATGCGAGAGAATTACACACCACCCACATACAAAGGTTTTACAGCAGCGTTCAGGACCATCCAGAGGCTCATTTCATCTTAATGAACTACTAGAGGGCATCTCCACACATGTAAATACCATAAATTTAATCCGAGTCAATTCCGAGGTCTAATGGGATTTTTCTACATCATCGTTGTTGGCTCGATATCCCAAGTAATCAGACGTGCGTGTTGTCTACGATAGCTGTCCAATTAGATTTGGCAATAGCAGTCTCCAAGTCCATTTTTCAAGGAGTATTAACAGAGCAGCCTAGCTTATCATTTTGACATATTTCTCATCACTTTTCCCATGCAGACAGTTCTTGTTTTAATTCAGTAATTGTCTGTGTCTGTGCAGCTGGTAACGCAGTGAAGAGAAAGCAATCAAGGAAACGTCTCATCATCCAGCTGCCATCCAACGGAGGACAGGACTGTCCGGAGGTCCTGGAGGAGGAGAGGGACTGCGAGGTCCCCAAAATCTGTCCAGGATTCAGGTAAAGAAGCACTATGGAGAGCTGATAATGTGGATGTCAGAGAGATTTGACAAAATATCAAAGGGTTGGGATTGATTTTAAGGACCCTTATAGACCTCATCTTATCATATATTTTCAAAT